GCGAGCGCAGAGAGGCGAGACTCATATCCTCGCAATGAGGACATTCCGTCTCAATGAGTGCTGCTTCAGCGTGGGCGGCGACCAAGCATGAAACACACTCGCCGTGACCGTCAGCGGTAACGACGCGCCATTTGAAACAACGCCAGAAATTTGCTCTGAAATTTGCTCTTTTAATGTCGCCGGATGGCGGCAGGGAACCGGAGACCGTCACTGCTGCAGGCGCGAAGGCGGCGTTAAGCGGCGAAGATGGCCGAGCAGGAAAAGGTCTCTCGATCTGCAGCGAGGCTTGATCACGGCGAAAGGCTTCTTAGTCTCGTAGAGCGAAGATCTAGCCGTCGTCGCTGAAGGAGAAGAATCCGAGGATCCTACGGTGAATGCCCGATTATATAGCCAGATGGCCCCACCCATTCTGGCAGGCTTTGGTGGGCTTTGTCGCCATTGGTTCGTTTTTTATTCATTGCACGAACCAATGGCCATGCAGTTACACTGCGTTGTTGAAAGGCTTCAGTCATCTGAGAAAAAGGAGTTTTTCCCCAAAGCGTCTTACCAGACGCAGTACAAGTGAAGTATCGATAGGGAACATAAGGATCATGTCCAACATATGCTGTGATTTTCTGTTTATACCTTTCTCTTGTAATAGTGTCCCATAGTGTAAACCAGTACAGTATGGACTTTCCTCCATCTCATCCATTCCAAAGCCACTAGAAGGCAAGCCTGCAACCTTTAGCCAAAAAAGCATAACGGCTAATGCTAACGCTTCCGATTTGCCAGTACGTGGGAAAGGAGATCAGAGGCCTTTTTTCTTTTTTAATGGATGTCAATGGAGGAGAGGCTTCACTATGCTGAATAAACAGCTTTTTAGAGGAAACAGCTTATCATTTAATGAACCGACAGCCTATCAGCTAATCTCCAACATGTTTTACACTAAGCAATACTTTTGGATTGAACTATTTTTAGAGTTTACACCAAAAAAAAAAGCTGTTTTATAAGAGAAGTCACTGACTTTCTGCGACAGGTAGTAAACAGCTTACGGCACTTCTCATTCATACCTATGGTATCCTTAAACGGCGATTGAGTGTCGCACAACTCTGACTGAAATTCAGTGACATCAAAGCTGTAATGTGATTGGTTATTAAGGCACACGTGATCCAAGTTGACCGTTATGCTTTCTCCAATAGTAAGTAATACAGACCCTCTCATCTCCCAATAGAGAATGTGAAGATACGCCATGCCGCGTTGCATGCTGGAGCGCTGCCGCCATTCTGGGAGGATCGCCCTCTGCTAAAAATGCTGAAATTAATACGGATACCTGTTTATCTTTTGTTTTGTTTTTGTATTCACATTCTTCATTGTATCGTTTGCAGGGAAGAGAAGCCATTTTATCGCTTTGCATGATAAATTGATTTTTATCTTTTTGTAGAATTTCGTTTACAATGTTGATTTGATTATGGTGAAAACAGTGTCTCACGCTGGACGCTCACTGCTGCTTCAGCCGTCATGTGGCAGAATATCCAAATAAAAGTATGCGTTCAACAGGCTGACAGAAGTCCATCCATTTCTTTGTAGGAAACGTTTCAGTGACGAAGTATAATAGTTGTCATTGTGAATACTCATTTTTCCGTGGCCAAGGAGGAGAATCAGAGATCGTGAGTCACATTCAGCGGACAGACACGAACACACTGTATTTTTTATATTTATTTCAACAAATGACAACCAAAATCAAATCCCTGGGAGCTTGTTAACAGTTTTGTAGCATTTTTAAAATGCTGGCTTGATGCACTAAAACAGTGATGCTAAGATATGCAGATGAGCCCAGAATATGAACGCAACGCGTTTAACTACACGTTAAGCGGTTTCCTCCCTTTAGAAAACCATAAAAACAAAACGCTTAACATGGCTTATGCATTGAACAGACAGTTACATTTAAAGGGGTCATATGATGCGATTTCAATTTTTCCTTTCTCTTTGGAGTGTTACAAGCTGTTGGTGCATAAAGAAGATCTGTAAAGTTGCAAAGACTAAAGTCTCAAATCCAAAGAGATATTCTTTATAAAAGTTAAGAGTCAACCACGCCTACCTAAAACGGCTCATTCTAACACGCCCCCACATGTCTATGTCACAATGTGGGAAGATTTGCATAACGCCGCCCAAATGTTCACTCAAAGAAAGAAGGCGTAACTTTTTTTCTCGCTGTAGTATTGTTGACGCCGCCGCCGCCATGTCGTGAAGGTGCTGTGTGTTTCGTTGTGAAAGACACTTCCAAAAGAGGACGATATCCACTTCGTCATGCCTGGAGCTGATCCGTGCTGGTCGCTGAGGAAATACATCAACTTTGCATTGTCGATCGCCGGATCGGCTTTCACCGTGGAAGAAGCGGAGTCCAGCACGGGGTCGTCACATGTGGTTGTTGCAGGCATCACAGTATGGTAAGGGACGTAACATTACAACTTTGCGCTGTGGATCGCCGGATCGGCTTTCACCGTGGACGAAGCAGAGTCCAGCCCGGGGTCGTCATATGTGGTTTCCGCGTTCTCAAGCCCGACCACCTCTGCTCACTCAAACCAGCCTCTGCATACTCTAGGCCGCAGCTCACTGTAGGCCTCCGGACTCCGTTCACTCAAGGCCGCGGTGTGACGCTCTTTCGTTGTGAAAGCGAAACTACTTTGTTTGGCCTTCCAAAAGAGGACACAACTAGAAATCAGTGGTTAAGTTGTATT